AGCTACCTCCAGTTCCTCCAGATGACTACAAGTGCCCGATCTCGTTGGAGTTGATGAGGGACCCAGTTATCATTGCAACAGGGCAGACATTTGAGAGAGCATGCATTCAAAAATGGCTAAATTCGGGGCATCGGACATGCCCCAAGACCCAGCAGGTCCTTTCCCATATTGTAGTGATACCGAACTTTGTTCTTAAGAGTCTGATCATGGCCTGGTGTGAGGGAAATGGCGTGGACTTCCCTGATAAACCGGGAGCACAAAATCCAGGCAGGTCGGGTCGGAATTCTGCAGAGAATGGAGAAATTACTGGCGACCGATCTTTGGTCGATGGTCTGCTGCAGAAACTTGTTTCTGGCACGACCGAGAACAAACGACAAGCAGCCGAAGAACTTAGGCTGCTCGCAAAGAGGAGCATGGAGAATAGGGTCTGCATTGCACAGGCTGGTGCCATTCCGCTCCTCGTCCATCTTCTTAGCTCGTCAGACCCGAAAACACAGGAGCATGCAGTCACTGCCCTGCTCAATCTCTCTATTAATGAAAGCAACAAGACAGCAATTATGGCAGCCGGTGCAGTGCCTCCTATTGTGGAGGTACTGAAGTCAGGAAGCATGGAAGCCAGGGAAAATGCTGCAGCGACGTTGTTCAGTCTTTCTGTCGGCGATGAGAATAAGATCACAATTGGGGCTTCTGGTGCTATCCCGGCTCTCGTGGATCTGCTGCAAGAGGGCGTCTCGCGTGGAAAGAAAGATGCCGCTACAGCGCTTTTCAACCTTTCCATCTACCAGGGAAACAAGACCCGAGCCATCAGAGCTGGGATCATCCCACCTCTGATGCAATTGCTCGCTGACAGGACCACTGGAATGGTTGATGAGGCCCTTGCGATGCTGGCTATTCTTGTGACTGCCCCTGAAGGACGCTCAGCAATAGGTCATACGATTGCAGTGCCCATTCTTGTCGACCTCCTTGGAACAGGCTCGCCGAGAAACAAGGAGAATGCTGCAGCGGTACTGCTCGCCCTTTGCCAGAGCAATACAGAACATGCAGAAACAGCAATAAAGCTTGGAGCGATCTTGCCACTCACTGCTTTGCTTCAGTCAGGAATGCCACGTGCGAGGCGCAAGGCGAACTTGTTGCTTGGCCACCTTCAGGCCTCTGGTGCGAACCATGCTGTAGAGCAGCGGGCCAGGTAAGAAGGTAATGCTGACTGCAGTATGTCGTCAACAATCCCGGGCAAAGGTCATGCTGTTTAAGCAACCAATCAACTATGCCAGGCAGGAGAAACATTCATGTCACTTCATGTGTTGCCCACCTGTGAAGCAGCAGCCGTAGTCGTTCCATTGTCAGATTTGTCTATAATCCTGGGAGTTACATTCTTTGGCACCTGTCTCGACTGCGAGAAACAATTTGGGCGATGGGATAGAATGCGTGGACACATTGCACGGATTCTTCAGATCAATGTCTGGGAAGTAAGTCTCTGTATAATGAAACTTTCAAACTGCTGGTGGGTGTGGGCATGTGATGTGCCTTCCCTGTGCAACCGCACGCAGTGGAAAGCCACTGTGACTGTTTTGCAAGGTGCTTCGCTCTTGTCAATTGAGATTGGCACCGCAAACACAGGATGTGGCACAAGGACAACCACCCGTGAACCACACAGGTTCTCTCTCTTTTTTCTCTTTTTTTGTCCAGTTTGTTTGTGTTTGTCAATGTGTATTTCGTTTTAATTGAAGTAACGCAAGGATGCGAACTGGAGTATGTCACTCGTAGCTTATTCTTTTCTGCAATACCATTTTTCCCCCTCACAACTATCTTTTGCAGCCGTGACCAGGAGTGAGCATGCTTACTATCGACGGTCCTCTGCTTCCACAAGCACCTCCCTGTCGATTCTCCTGTGTGCTCTGGGTCCTTGATGTCAATGCCACAGAATCACTTGGTCTTCACTCCCAGCATGCAGTTCCAAAGTCAGAAAGGAGACGGTGGAAAGAAACCATGACGATGGGGCACAGAGTGTCTGCCTTACTGGCCATGATGATTACCATCGTGGCATGTCTGCATTCTGGCCTTTATCTTGCTCATGGCTCTCTCTCAGATCAACTTACTGCTGGAGTGTCTGCCTTACTGGCCAGGATGACTACCATCCTGGCAGGTCTGCGTTCTGGCCTTTAGCTTGCTCATGGCTATCTCTCAGATCAACTTACCGCTGAAGACCTCAAGGTCTCCTGGAATGAATGGCAGGCTTTGGTGAGGTTGTTTTGCCTAGTCTCCTCCTCGATGAGTGAATTCTCAGGCAGTTGCTAATGACGATGTCCGGGCTCAAGGTTGTTTGTTTCGACTTTTTTGCATGTCTGGTTAGATGGGCAATTGTAACATCTAGGTTGTGCTTGCCGGGTAAGTGCCAGTTGGTTGTATTGGCTTGTCATATGTGGATTATGGTCTGGCCTGGTCTGCCCTGACCTGGCTTGGCCACGTCAGCGGTTGCCTGACCTGTCTGGTCTGGCCCGGTCTGCCCTGACGTGGTTGGTCTAGGCTGGTCTGTCTTGACGACATCAGCGCGGGCACTTAACTCCAGTTCACTGACTGGTGTGATTTCGGGAAGGAGTGTGGCTGGAGAGGTGGGGGTGAAAGGGGAGTGGGGAAGAGGTTTTTGGCTGCTTACCGCCTGTCTACTCTTCATGTATGGATGTTGACCTACCATACACCGTTTGCCTGGAAGGGGGGGCAAAAGGGGAGGGGGGAAGAGGTGTTTTCGGCTGTTTAGCACCTGTCTACTCTTCGTGCGCAGAGATTGACATAGTATACACGGTTTGTCTTGACAATGTTTCAGTCCAGTAGAGATTCGATCGCACGCCCTTTCTGCCAACATTTTTTGCACACGTGTCGGCTTCCTGTTGGATGGTCATAATTTCTTTGAATGATCCGTTCGTCTGGGGAGTTTGATTTATTGGAGAGTGTTGAACTGATGGTTCTGGTTTGCAGTCTATCATGTTATGAACAGATACTTATGAAGTTAACGGGTGACTTAACCGCTCTGAACAGTTTCCTTTGTTGTTGCGGAGAGCTATCGCGAAGTGTAAAGGAGACAAACGACACCTAGAGGAAGTCTGTTGTGGCAATCTGAGCCCTGGTTCAGGGAAAGGTTCAATCCCATGTCGGCAAGGAGCTTCGAACTGGCAGCCGTGGAAAAGATATTTCGGACACACAACTGTGGTACACATTGTTTCCCCTTCTGGATGCGTTTTACGATGGACTACGGGAGTAGTGGTTGATGACACACTCTCACAACTTTATATGTAGTATTGACGGAAGTTTGGAGGATCGTTTGGCGGGGTAACAGTCCGGCTGGGGAAGGTGCATATTCTCTGGCTCTTGGTGTAGTAGAGATGTGGCAGTAGGGTCGTAGGTATGTATCAAAATGGAAAATTGACTTGCTGGTTTTTAAGTTACGATGATCCCCTCTCAAGTCAGGGAGAACGGTGAACTTCAGTCAGGATTTGAAGTGTTTATATGTCTCTATTTGACTCTTCGAAAAAATTATTTTGATGTTTTCTGTCCCACATCCTTGAGCTGCCTGCACTAGCTCTGTTCGTATCACCCCTTGTCCTCTGGGAATCATGCGAGCAGGAGGCGTGTTTGCTTCGCTCTTAACCTGCTATTTACTGAGAACTGTTATTAATACTGTGACCAGGTCGTGCAGTATCCGTGGGTTTGCGGTTGCGGGTCTCTGCAGATTGGCAAAGCCTGTGAACTTACCCTGACAGTTTCATTAAACCCTGACAGGTTCATCGAGATATTTGCAGATTCAGGTTGTTCTCCTCATGATTGGGAGTCGATGCTGCTGTGATTGTGGAGGGAGCAGTTGAAGCACAAGCTGCTGGGGATGCCGTGGTCGGGAGATGTATTCTGAAGGTGGTGGTGGGAGTATGATAGAGGATGTTCACAGACACTCCCTGGAGTGCCAGTTAACTCTCATCGGCAGGCGATTCACAGACACTCCCTGAAGTTGTCCATTGCCAGTGATTCTGAGGTTAGCGTGCGGACTGCAACCTCACAGAGCTGTTAAAGCAATGCATAGATGCCGGCGTGCTACGAGTGAAAGGGATATCGTGTTCAGTAGAGGACGTGAAGGGTGAGGAGAGTCATCCTGTGTCTCGGGTCATCTCCTGTCTTCAAAGCAGCGCATAATAATGGCAGAAAATTGACAGGTGTTATCTCAAGGTAACAGGACATCCCAATAAGTCCTCAGGGTGGAGAGAGAGCCTGGAGGACTGTAGGTGATGATGTGTTTAGTTTGCTGCAGGTGTGGCTGTGCTGAGATGTGTTATTGATCTTGTGAAAAAGTTTGACAGTGAATTTGTGAGAAGTTGAGCGACACTTAACAATAAGTATGCCCGTTATAAGTTTGACGGAGACACTTTCAGGTTTTTTCCTGTATTCGGTCCGCACAGGGTTTTCACTTTATGTGCAGAACTGAAGTTCTGCATTTATTTCGTCGTTGCACATGACACTTTTGTGTGTATGGCGTATTTCTGTGCGTTTGCGTCGCTGACCGTATCTTGCTTTTCGGGAGAGTGGGTGGACTGCTGGGCTAGCCAAGATAGGATTATGAGATCGGGTGGGAAGACAAGATCAGGAGCTTTGTGTTGGATTCGCAGACAACTATCTGGCAGTAAGTATATATGGAAGGGAAGGGGGAGGGGGGGAAGAGGGGCTGGGTGTGTGGTGGGGGTGGGGAAACCGAAAAGAGCGCTGTGGCCTATCACTCTCTCTACTTTGAATGTTTTCTATTTTGTTTTTTGCATTTCAAGGCTAGAAGTTTTGAATGTATGTGCATACTGACAGATTGAAAGTTATCGCCTACAGTTGTATGAATGTGAACTTATGATACTCCTTCACCCTCCGGCCTGTTGCAGCAATTCCTCCAGATGGGTTCATTCAACACTGGGTTTCGTCCACCTCTCTCTCTCTCTCTCTCTCTCTCTCTCTCTCTCTCTCTCTCTCTCTCTCTCTCTCTCTCTC